TCTGAAACTGAGTAAGAACAAGGTTGTCGAAATGTGTTAAGTATTGTTTAGTGTCATGTTTGTGAACAAGAGGATATATACATGTGATTGTAGGAAAATATTTATGTCCAGAATGTGATGAGACAACAGAGGGATCCCATAGGTCACAATGGATAAGTTCAAATGCTTCAGATGCAATGGATATGCTATCTTCAAAAGGTACCTTCTTATGCCTAGCAAAATGACAGGTATCTCAAGGTATGCTAGTGAGATGCTTACATTGTGTTGAACATTCAGGCAATTGAACAAGTTTATGATAAGACAAGTGACCTAGTCTGTTATGCTAAATTTCAGATGAAGAGGGTGTATGAACAGATTTATCAAGGCCTATTACATGAGCATCATCAGTATGTTTGTCTAAAACAACATTTCCAAGATGGGCATATTAGAATCAGAAAAGGACATATGATAGATCCATTCTTGGCCTCAACAAAACCAATCATTTTGTTAGTTTGCAGGTCCTGCAAAGTACAATAACAAGATGCAAAGTTGACAAAACAGTTATTTGAGGCAATTAGTTTTGAAACTGAAATAAGGTTAAAGGTAAAAGTAGAAACATTTAGAACATTATGCAGCACAAGATTAGGCCACAAGTTAACCTGTCCCACATGGCATGCATAAGTACTATGTCCATTAGGAAGTTTAATGGCAACTGGAGTTTGTAAAGAAGAATCAGAATATAAAGTAGGATCACAGATCATATGGTCTGTTGCTATAGTGTCAAGAATCCAGGTATTTTTTATTTAATTTTGCAGTTGAAATGGTAGGAAAGAGATAGTGTACCTTGTTGTTCTATGTGAACAGTGGCAGCTATAGGGGATGACTCAGCTTGAGCCTTTCCCTCTTTTTTAGCAATAGATCTTTTGTATTTTATAAACTCAACAAATAAAATGTCAGACATGGAATTTGTAGATTGCATATGAGGACTGGGAATAGAAGTGTTTACAACATTGGCAGAGGAGTGAGAAAGATGTATTTTAGGGCCTTTAGGACCCACCCAATTAGCAGGATAACCAATAAGTTAGTAGCATTTTTCAGTTGGGTGATTGTAACCACATTGATCACATTTAAAGTGTTTCTTATCTTTAGGTGCAGGATTTTTAAAGTATTTTGAAGTAAACTTGGCCAACATAGCAACAGGATCAAAGGATTTTAAAGAAGAAAACCAAAGAAATTTAGAACATTCTTCAAATTTGAAGAATGTTCTAAATTTCTTTGGTTTTCTTCTTGTAATAACAGAGAGTATACCTTAGATAAAGAAGGCAAAAGTTAGGACAACAAGAAGTGACTTCTAAAAGCAGAGTATGAATCATTTAAGCCAACTAATAATATTGCATGAACAAGATTATTTGCACGAACCTAAACAACATGCTCAACAGGATGAGTAGTAGGGTTAGGGGTTATCATAGAGCCGTCAACAAAGGCGATTTTATTTTTGACACTTAATGCCATGAGAACAACACGGGACAAGGCAATATAATTCTCACAGGTGAAATGATCAGCCACAATTGCAATGCTAGGATTATCGCTTGCATGTAAGTAAAGCGGGGAAGACAGATCATCAGACGGATGAGTCAATATGAATTAGAATAAATCGTGAATCGGTGAAAATTGGAAACAAATCGGAGCCGATGAGGACCTAAATGAACCAGATTAAGCAGAAAACGTAAAGATTCGACGAGAAATCGAAGAAATCGAAAAAAATAGAGTTCGGTCAGATGGTGATCGAACGAAAAACAAGATAAAACAGTGGAATATCATTCGGATCAATGTGATTTGCTCTGATACCATAATAAAACTAAAAACTGTATGAAATTTTCATTGAATCAAAAGGAATGTGCAGATTACAATATTGAAGGATAGGAGCTTTCAGAGAGAAAGTATAAGAGTCGATGAGAGAAAAAGTAATTTTTCCAAACCCTAAAACATATATTTATATTAAGGCCAAAACATAAAACTTCAATAACCTATTTAAGGACCTAATTGCTAATATTTACAAAAGTAAAAATTACACATTTGGTACATTATCTAATAATTGTCATCAATATGAGATTGTACTAAGGCTTCGCTTGATTAACAGCGTATCACATCAATCAAAAAGTTACAATAAGGCTTTGTTTGGTTAACATCGTATCACATCAATTATAAAGTTATAATAGCTGTTTTGATCAGACAAAAACGCTGAAAATATTGTTTGATGAGCTAACATTTTTATTCAGCTGATTGGATAAAAAAGCAATTTTAGAAAATGCTGCAATACCCAGCATTTTGAGTGAGCGGATGAGGAGAGATACTTTTTATTCATTTGTTTATCAATTTTTTTTATCCAAAATGGCATGTCTCGTCTTTTATTTTTAACTCACTTATATTTCATAGGGGATGGGATACTCGGTTACCTGCACATGGGAAATGGGATACTCGGTTACCTGCACATGGGAAATATAAAATGTTGATTATGGTTCATTATTTATTTTATTTACTTTTGTAATTTAATTATCATTAAAGTGTTCATTAACAAGCATTCGATTTTCAAAATACGTGGGTGGACTTATAATTCTGGCATATTTTTCTATATATATTATTTAGAATTTAAATAAATAAATAAATAAAATATAAAGTTAATTACTTGTCGTAAGAAAATATTTATTTATTTTTTATGAATTGATATATTAAATCAACTTTTTCAAATTCACAAACCATAAATTATTTGATTTTTTTAAATAATTGTCATAACTATAAAAAATAAAATCAAATGTTCAAGTATATATATTTACTAACACCTAATTTTGAACAATTAATTTACCAAACATTATTTTACAAAACTGCTGATATAATCTGCTGGTCAAAACAATTAATTCAATTCGCTGGTCAAAACAACTAATACAATCTGCTAACCGCTAAATGTAACAGCTGATTGTCAAACAAACGCTGATATATAAATATAGAGCCACGAGGATATATGGATATATAATGACTTTATCAATTGGTCAAACTCACGCAATTGTCAACTATGATTAAATCAACCTCTCACTGCCGCAGCTTGCGTTTCCAATACGATGAAAGATCAACCCTCAACCTTCTCTACTTGCTTCGAATTTCCACTTAATTGGAAAATACTATTTTTTATTTCGTCCTATCATACCTTAGAGTTCCCGTGATCTTTGAATACGTTTGTGTATATATACCACACGCTCAAGACACCATACACCCATATCGAATTGTAAGTCGTCTAAAT